TTGAGGGTTTAGGGTTTAGGGTGAGAAGCACCATGAGGGTGTATGGGCTTATCATGTAAGTTGTGCAAGGAGTTTCAGTTTTGCACTTTGTAGGTTTAGCGGGTGAGGCACCTGCATTCTCTGCGAAGCCCTTATTTCACCAAGGACCTGAAGCCTCGCTGTAAACCGCAAACAAAGTGTTGCTGACTGATGATATCGGTGGCTTTGGGGCGAAGCACCGTAACCCCCGGAGACCATAGCCCCCAAAGCCCTTTAAAGTATAGGGATAGTTATCTAAACTAGGGTCCCTTTTTAGGTCTCCCAAATAGTACGGCACCCTTATAAAAAGGACCCTAAAAGGGACCCTAGTTTAGACAACTTCCCATAGTCACCGCGGCCAAGGCCTCGCAGTCGGAACCCGCCCAAAGATGCCATGTGACTGCATAGTAAACAAGTTGGCAATTGAAGGATTCCGATTTTTGTACGTCAGGGTCGAAGTATACACTAAATGGGTACTTTCGATGCTTGGCAAAAAACCTTAAAACTCGATGGTATCCTTCTAAAACCCTATACCCTAAACCCAAGATCATTCAGTTTAGTATAGGGGCCGTACTAATTACCCATACAATTTTGGATAATTATAGTATCATGGACCCCCTAAAACCTATTCTAGCGATTGAAACCCCTACATTGGGTGTTGAGCCCTAAACCCTAAACCCTAAATCCTATATCCTAAACTTTAAAACCCTAAATCCTAAAACCCTAAACCCTAAACCCTATATCCTAAACCCTAAACCCTAAACCCTAAACCGGCTGTCATCCCAGGGCTTTCGCTTCACGCATTTGACCTCGGGCCTCCGGCGTGGCGTGCTCCAGTGGGTGACGGCCTGAGAACTATGGGTCAATGAAGTCAGGAGGTCTGATGGTGTGTATACATATATGCCTAGATAATAGCAATAATAATAACGATATTCTTTTCACATTAATAGTAATAATCAGAATCATAATATTTATGTATGTATGTATATGTGTATATAAAGATGCGTGCTTATGCCTGCCTGCCTGGTTGTATGTTTGGCTGTCCGTCGGTCCATTGGTCCGTATGTATGTATGTATGCATGCATGTATGTGTGTGGGTATGTGTATGTTTGTTTGTTTGCTTGTTTGTGTTGTATGTTTGTTTGTTTGTTTGTCCGTTTGTTTGTTTGTATAGAGAGGGAGAGAGGGGCGACTGCAAGCTTTGCATGGGGAATTGACATGGACTTCTGTGCAAACTCAGCGTTGGGTTTAGGGTCGGTGGCTTCTTGATTTCTCAGGACACCCCGCACCATAAACCGCGTGCCAATTCGCCGTTGGGTTTAGGGTTGGTGGCTTCTGGATTTCTACCCCAAACCCTAAACCCTAAAACCCTAAAGCCTAACCCTGTGCCCCAAAGCTCCAAAGCCCAAGGCTCCCAAAGTCTTAACCTGGGAAGTAGCAGTTATCGAAGACAAGCAGGAAGGTTGCGATTTAGAGGACCCCCTTCACCAGCATCCGCAGGAACTCACAGACAGACAAAACCCGGTGATTTTCACATTTCAAGGTCTGTCTGTTGACACACAATTCGTGAGCAATTATTCTGCTGTCTTAGCAAACTAGAGATTATCGAACCTTTCATTGGTGTCCCGTAAACCTACAAGTAACATGTCAAGTGGGTGGCTTTGACCATGTGTTCCTTTGCCGACGGAAGGGTACGAGGTCTTCAATTGTCGATGATTCCATTGTCGAGGTTCAGCGCAGGGCTCATCGTATTCGTGCTTGGTTGTGGTTTGGGAAAGCATGAAACTCCTCTGAGCATTGGCCAACTTCCAACGCACGCGTGCTTCTCAGCCAAATCTTTTCTGTCTTTGACCCTAAACCCTAAACCTTAAACCCTAAACCTTAAACCCTAAACCTTAAACCCTAAACCCTAAAGGTCCGCGGCTATGGCACACATCTTCACCCGGCCATGCCTCCTCGATGCGTTTTGGTCCGGGATCTTCGGGCCCCGAACACGGTAATCGGCGGATGGGTGTGCTTTGACAGTGGGTGCCCTCAACCCTGCTTCAAGGCTCATGGGTTTAGGGTTTACGGTTCAGGGTTTAGGGTTTAGGACAGCCGCAAAACCAAACCATAAGCCCCAATTCACGCAAAGGAGGAGCATGTCTTACACGAACTTCTTGGCACGCAAGCCACGAGGAGCCATACCCCAAAGCTTCCGTCATAGTCCTGGCTCCGGGTATCTTCACGCAAGCTCAGTGGTGCTCCTACGGCGAAAGCGTTATCCTTGAGATTACAAACCTAAAACCCAACTCCCCAAGTAGGCACCGAAGAGGGGTACCAGACTTGACCATGAACTCCACCTAGCTGCTAATCAAGCCCTACCTCTCCAAACCATAAACCTTGGGAAACCTTTAGGGTGTAGGGCTTTAGGGCTTTAGGGTTTATGCTCCTGAAAGTCAAGATATTGAACCACCATGCATGCAAAGAGTGTTCGGGTAGAACAAAAAAGTCGCCGATCGAGCCCCGTTTCAGGTTCCACGATAGTTTGAAAGTGCAAGCCTTGCACCCGGAGCCCCATCGCTAAGAACGGCTTTGGAGGTTGCGCTAATGGTGCAAATCAGAAGGCATTCAGTCAGAACTCCTTAGTGTCTATAGTATAGGGGCCTTGATGCGATGTCGTGTTGCCAGCTACCAGGAGTGCCCATCGTTGGCCTGAATGCTTTGTAACCCCTGTCCAAACCCTAAGCCGAAAACCTCACCCACCCCAAACGGAAGCTAAACCCTAAACCCCCAAGAAGCTAAACCGGCTAAACCCTAAACTCTATAAGCCCTAAATCCGAAACCCTAAGCCACCAAAAATCTAAACTCTAAACCCTGACCCCTTACACTCTTCACTACGGGAACGGAGTGGAACAAGGCCCTCAAAACAGAGAGAAACCCTAGCACCTAAACCCTGATTGTTAGGTTAAGGTTTACGCAGGTGATTTAGTGTTTTGCATTTCTTGCTTCTGGCGGGCGTCTAAGGCCTTTATAACGGTCTGTAGGATTTGTTTTTTGCGGTTTTGTCAGGGCCTTGTAAAAGGGGAGCATATATATATATATATATATATGTGTATATGTATATATTTATATTTGTATTTATATTTATATTTATATAGTTACCCGACAAACTTAAGCCAGAGCAGACAGCCCAGGAGACGCCAGTCCGTCGCATGGCAAGCGACAAGCCCTGCCTTGGTCATTGCAGAGCTGGCCGGCGCCAACGCTCCTGGGTGAGTTTAGGGTCTTGGGATTCAGGGGCCTAGAGAGGAGGGTTTAAGTCTCAGTTTGAAGTTTGAGTAAAACTTAGCTAGCCTTTGTTCTCCAATAACCTGCAGCCGATCGATATCAAGAGCATGTGTGTGTTATTGTGTAAATATATATATATACACATGCATGTATACATATTGTTTATTTGAATACGCACTTACCTGTGTGTGTATATATAGACTGTATACATGTATATATAGAGATATATAGATAGACACATGTGGCATTGTGTATGCATGTATAACAGAAAAGAGAGATAGAGAGAGAGAGAGAGAGAGAGAGAGAGCGAGCGAGCGAGCAAGCGAGAGAGAGAGAGAGAGAGAGACAGCCAGGGCTTTACGTGAAGCTGCTTGAGCATTGGGTGGATGTACAAGTCGTGTTACAGAATTGTCTGCCTATAAATGCTTTGTATATATCATGAGCAAGGCCGAACGTCCGAGAAACGTTGTCTGGTGAGTCAATTGTCCAATCGGTCTGCTTCGGGGATATGGAACTTTGAAATGCCAGGTTATCTGGACACTGCGCAGTCGGATTACAATTTGGGTTCTTTACACAGCCACGCTTTCGTTTAGCATGTCTGAGATGTCGAGTTACAGCTTTAGGGTCGTAATTGTAGTGGTGGCAGCAACAGCAGTAGTCGTCGTCTTTCTCGTAGTGAGGGCAGTCGCCAGCAGTAGCAGTAGCAGTAGCAGTAGCAGTAGCAGTAGCAGTGTAGCAGTGTAGCAGTGTAGCAGTGTAGCAGTGTAGCAGTGTAGCAGTGTAGCAGTAGCAGTAGTAGTAGTGGCAGTGGTAGTATTAGCAGTACCAGTAGGAGTACTAGTAGTAGTAGTAGTAGTAGTAGTAGTAGTAGTAGTAGTAGCAGGAGGAGGGGGAGGAGTAGCAAGAGTAAGAAGAGTAATAGGAGTCATAGGAGTAGGAGGCGTATGACAGTAAGAGCAGGAGCAGGAGTAGGAGTAGAGGTATCGGAAGAGCTTGTTCGTCGGTGATAAGTAGGTTTCGCTTAGATATTCGACTGTTCCAGTGTACCCTAAGTCCCTAAGTCTCCAAGCCAAAGCTAACATACCAGCCCGTTCAAGAGAAATCGGTAATCCATGAATCCGCAGACTGGATTCGGTCCTTTCGAGTTCTGACAGCTTCGTAAGTAGGCAACTTGTGACAGATTTGTAGATGTATAGAGAGAGAGAGAGAGTCTATGTCAAACATGCACAGTACCTAAGGCTACCATAATTCGGGACTGGGACCTCCGAAACTAGGATAAACTTCCACTGGAAGCCACGTCCTGTTGTGTGCCGTTTGTCGAAAGCAGAGCAATCGACATGTGTGAATCATGGTGAACCTATTTAGATTCCTGTTCAAAGGAAGCACAGAACTAAGGCACAGCTTGCAACACATTTCATCCTTGGTCCTCCGCCCTTTGTTAGTTGATACTGTGCACTTTGTTGGCAAATTGAACCGTGAACTAAAGCACAGGCACAGACAGCTATCTTCTCATATCTTGTTTCAGCTGTTGGACTGTTACAAGTCAAACTTATTTTTGTAGAACGGTGTGTTTGGTGTTGAATTCGATGGTTTCTCCGAAGCGATGTAAGATAATCAAGGCATGCTTTCTGGTGTTTCAGCAAATTAGCGAGACCCCGAACGTGGCAACCAGCCATTGTGGACTTCGGCTGCATGTAAATACAAACAAAGATGCCCCAAAACCCTAAACCCTAAACCCTAAACCGAACGAATGTTTTCGTTGTCACTCGTTCATCCTTCGCCTCCAGAGCTCGCGAAAACTAAACCCTAGACCCTAAACCCTTGCAAAACCCGCAACCAGTCCTGAGAACACTCACCAGGCCCTAATTCACTCCTAATTGCAGGAGCCCCTTGATTCATCCCTTGACGGAACCTATAAACCCTAAACCCAAAGCCCTATAAGTCTAAACCCTATAACCCTATACGCCTAAACCCTCTAAACCTACAAGCCTAAACCCTACATACCCGTAAGCCTAAACCCTATAAACCTATACGCCTAAACCCTATAAACCTATAACCCTAAACCCTGTAACCCTATAAGCCTAAACCCTCTAAACCTATAACCCTAAACCCTATAACCATGTGAGCCTAAACCCCTAAAAACCTATAACCCTAAACCCTNNACCCTAAACCCTAAACCCTCTAAGAGTCCCAAAGAAAGCCCTTAGCGCATCAGGCGGTCTCGAGGGCCTGGCAAGCTGCGATGGTCACCGGGCGCACCGCGACCAGTGGCGCCCGTGCTGCTGCGGGCACGGCGGCGGATGTTCCCTTGGCTTTTCAGACCCAGCCCTAAACCCTAAACCCT